ACGATATTTTCAGATGATTCAGAATATGGCCTCATCGGCCTAGGTTGAGGTTTACCCCTCTAGCGTTCACAGTTACAGAGTGGTACGCTTGGGCCGAGTATGGTACCGGGTGCCGGCCACCCCCCTTCAGGTTTGGGGCGTGACAGGGTTTCCCGCCTGCAGCAGGCCTTATAGGCTTTATTATTATATGTATCGGGACTACCCACCTGCAACAGGCCATATCGACTTTATATCACGCTTGGGCTGAAGGAGCCCCTCCGGAGTTTGTACACACCCCCAGTGAGCGTAGATTATTATTTATTCGGGATGAACTTCCCAGGGCATGGACTTGCCTTACTTATTTATATTGTGATGACTTTTCCATGGATATGGATCTTGTCCGTACCATTTACATTTGGGGAATAAATTACCTAGGGCTGGATATGTGTATATATACGAGATGGAATATCCCTGGGTTGGATTGGCCATAAACAGTACCGAATGACCAAATGATTAGTGACCATTATTACATGAGGTCTTTCCATTGATATGTCATATTCCTCATATCATGCACTATTGATCTATTTCACTTGTACTGAGTTTAACTGTTGAACTTGAAAGCATGCCTACATTTCTGTACCATTATTTATATCGGACTGTACCTCCGGAGCTCGTCACTACTTTCAGCCCAGAGGTTAGTCTTGTTACTTATTGAGTTGGTTATACTCATACGACACTCTACACCTCGTGTGCAGATCTAGGTGCTTTCGGACACAGCGACCGTTAGATCTCAAAGTGCTATAAATTGGAGACTATCAAGGTAGCTGCCTGGAGTCCACTGACCTTGACTCTCTTTCTTTCAGTTATTGTACTATTCTATACTTTCAGACAGTGTCTTATCATTCAGACTTTGTATTCATATTAGATGCTCATGTACTCAGTGACACCGGATTTTGGGAGTATTTATATCTGTATTTGTGAAATTGCTTCCGCTGAATTTAAATATTATATTTTTTCAAACTTAAAAGATAAGGTGGTTTATTGAGATTATCGGCTTTCCTAGTATTGAGATAGGCACCATCACGACATCTGAGATTTTGGGTCGTGACAACCTAATAAATGGAAACAGTGGTTGAACCTAGCAAAGTGGTGGTATAACACCAACTTCCATTCCAGCCTATAATGTACCCCCTTTGAAGCCTTGTATTGGTACTCACCTCCCCAACTATCTATGGGACCTCTAATGGATAATATAGTACCTGCAGTGGAAGATATGATCACAAAAAAACAGCAGATGCAACAGTTATTGCAAGATAACTTACAGAAGGCACAGGAAAGGATGAAAGTGTATGCCAATCGGAGAAGAACTGAGAGAGAATTCCAGGTGGCCGGGAGATATGGTGTATTTAAAGCTACAGCCATATAGAAATACACCTCTTGCCTTGAGAAAATATTTGAAGCTGAGTTCCAAGTATTATGGCCCTTATCGAGTTACTTCAAGAATTGGCAAGGTTGCTTACAAGTTGGAACTGCCTCCAGAATCCAAAATACACCCAGTATTCCATGTCTCTTTGCTCAAGAAAAAAGTAGGTGACAAGGTGATGGTTCAGTAAGCATTACCAAGTACTAGTGAGGAAGGCCAATTCTTGGTTAAGCCAGTAGCAATTTTGCAAAGGCAGATAGTTCGAAGAGAAAACGTAGCAGTTGTGAAGGTGTTAGTCCAATGGTCCAACTTTCCCCCTGAAGATGCCACATGGGAAGATTGTAATTTTCTCGAGGCCAAATTTCCATATTTTGATACTTAATCCTTGAGGTCAAGGATTGTTCGAAGAGGTCGAGTATGTCATGAGCTATAGTCTAAATGTAACAAACGGGGTTCGAAACTAGAGGTAAGAAATTAGTCATTTAATTACCAAATGGACGGTTGAGATTAGAGAATAATAAATGAGTATCAAGGGCCCAGATATTTCCAAATAAGCTATCTCAAATTCAGTTACATAGCTAACAAATTTGTTGAGAGAATGATTTAACGAAAATTCTGGTAATCTTTCTCTCTTCTTCACACTCATTCTCACTTCCTCTTTCTCAACCCTTATTCCTTCGCCTTCTAATTCTTCTCCTTTTTCTTATCCATCTGCAGATTCCTATCTTAGCAATGGATGTTTAGCTGGAGTTGTCTTTTATTCTGTTAATTTTCGTTATTAGTTTCCAACATCATCCAAGATGTTGCTGGCAAGAGTGGCCATAACAAAAAGAGGAATGCCACCAACAAGAGCCAGGAGGTGCGACTTGAGGTTGTGTCAAACGAAGGGCTTACATCCCAAGAACCATATGCCACTGAGGCGAGTGAGGATGAAGTGGAGGTTCTTCCCAAGAACTTATTACTCGGTAAAGAGTGGGTGATAAAGATGAACGCAGGGATGGATGCCGTGGAGATCTTAGGCCAACGCTTGGGGAAGGTGGAAGGCACCCTTAGCATTCTTGAGAGGCACACTCTTGAAGAGATTGAAAGTATCTGAAATGACTTGAAGGGACGTACACATACCGAGATGGAACTAAGTTATACCATCAGTGGCTTAGAGTGCAGACTCATGGAGGCTTTGAGTACTACCGATGTTACGAAGGCAAAGATAGAGTCACTCGGGGAGCATGTTAGTGCTGGCATGACCGAGGCAGCCAACAATGTTGTGGTGACGAGGGAGGCCAAGATCGAGGCACCAAAACCCCGGTGTTCAAAGGTGTTCATGATGCATAAGAAGAGAAAAACTTCCTTTGGCACTTGGAGAACTACTTCATCCACGGCAAAATGAGGGACGATGAGGCCATGATCAACACTGTAGTGTTGTACCTCTCAGAGACTGCCATGCTATGTTGGAGAATGAAGATGTCTGGCATGGATAAAGGTCTATATACTATTAGTACGAGGGATCAGTTCAAATTCGAGTTCAAGCGACATTTCTTTCCAAACAATGTCTTATACGAGGCAAGGCGCAAGCTTAGGGAGTTGAAGAAAACAGGGAGCATACGTGTCTATGGCAAGGAGTTCACTACACTTATGCTTCAAATACCCAACCTGGCCAATGATGACTTGTTATTCCACTTCATGGACGAGTTGTAAAATTGGTCTAAGCAAGAGTGCAACACCGGCAAATCGCAGATATAGACCAAGCCACAGTGGAGGCCGAATCATTGATGGATTTCAGGAATGAAAAGAACGAAAAAGGCAAAGGTAAAGAATTAATGTTTAACAATGTCAAAGGTGGGGGAGACCGTGGTAAAGACAAGGAGATACAACAAAAATACTACAAGACTTAAGATTCCAAAAGGTCGAGTGGTCGTTAGGGCTACGCCGAGAAGAAGGCACTGGACGAGAATAAGGGATGTTACTTGTGTGGAGGGTCGTACGGCTTCAGGAATTGCCCTGACCTAAAGAGCCTCAGCGCCATAGTCCGTGAACAGAAGGAGCAGTCTCAAGGAGAGAGTTTGGGAACCGCAAAGTTGGGTATGATCGGATAATGCGGTGTTGTCATGAGGCAATCTATCTAACCTACCGAGAATAACAATCAGTACATGGATCTCACCATCAATAACAAGCATGCTTGTGCAATGGTGGATACTGGAGCAACTCATAATTTTGTGACTGAGGTTGCCACAAAGAGACTAGAATTGAAGCTTGCTCCTACCAACTCTCATGTCAAGACAGTGAATGCTGAGGTACAGAATGCTCGTGGGGTAGCTAATGGAGTTGGTGTCAAATTGGGAACTTAGAAAGGTATGACAAATTTTACCGTAACCGTTATGGATATCTTTAACATCATATTGGGGCAAGAGTTCTTTAAACATTGTCATACTTTGATCGACCCCTACCTCTAACGTCTCTAGTTATGGAGCGAGAAAGATCTTGCATTGTACCTATAGTGACTATGTCACATGGACAGAGCCAAGCACAACTTTTAGGTATGTAGGTTGTCAAGGGGATCAAGAAGGGGGGGCGATGCTTATGGCAATCATCGCAAGTCTGGCAATCATCGCAAGTCTGGAGGAAGACAAGAGTTTTCAAGAGACATTGCCGCCTTGCATAGAGAAGTTGCTTGAGGAAAACAAAGATGTCATGCCTGAGGAGTTGCCTAAGCACTTTCCGCCTAGGCGAGAGGTGGATCACAAGATTGAGTTGGAGCCAGGGGCTAATCCATTTGCATTTTCCCCATATCGTATGGCACCGCCTGAGCTAGAGGAGCTCAGGAAACAATTGAAAGATCTGCTAGATGCCTGGTCACATTCTCCCATCAAAGGCACCTTTCGGCGCACCAGTATTGTTCCAGAAGAAGAAGTATGGATCGCTATACTTGTGCATAGACTACCGAGCATTTAATAAGTCCACAGTGAAGAATAAGTACCCTATCCCGCTCATTGATGACTTGTTCGATAGACTTGGGCAAGCCAAGTACTTTACCAAGGTGGTTCTTCGCAAGGGCTACTACCAGGTTCGCATTGCAGAAGGGGATGAGACGAAGACAACATATGTGACGAGATATGGAGCCTTTGAGTGGTTGGTGATACCTTTCGGCTTAACCAATGCACCGACCACATTTTGCACCCTTATGAACAAGATTTTTCATCCCTACCTTGATCAGTTCGAGGTAGTCTACCTAGACGACATAGTCATCTACAACAACACCTTGGAAGAGCACATGGAGCACTTAAGAAAGGTTTTCCAAGTCTTGTGGGATAACGAGCTACATATCAAGAGGGAGAAATGTGAGTTTGCACAATCAAAGGTTTACTTCTTAGGCATAGCAATGGCGAGCTACGCATGGAGGAGGCTAAGGTACGTACTATCCATGAGTGGGAGGCACCTATAAAGGAAACTGAGTTGAGATCCTTTCTTGACTTTGTTAACAACTATCGTCGGTTCATCTGTGGCTACTCAGCAAATATCGTACCATTGACTGAGTTGCTAAAGAAGAACAAGCCATGGGTTTGGATGGAGCATTGTCAAAAGACGTTTGAAGACCTTAAGGCAGCTGTAACAAAGGAGCCAGTCTTGGCGCTACCTGACTTTGCCAAGACATTTGAGGTGCACACAGATGCCTCGGACTTTGCCATTGGGGGTGTCATGATGCATGATAAGCATCCCATAGCATTTGAGAGTCGTAGGTTAAATGAGACAGAGCGGCATTACACGGTACAAGAGAAGGAGATGACTGCCATTGTGCATTCCCTTCATACATGGCGACATTATTTGCTCGAGTCGAGGTTCGTATTCAAGACCGACAATGTAGCTACTAGCTACTTTCAGACGCAGAAGAAGCTCACACCAAAATAGGCTAGGTGGTAGGATTTCTTGGCCAAATTTGATTATGTGCTGGAGTATAAGCCGGGCAAAGGTAACGTTGTAGCCGATGCCTTGAGCCGGAAAGATGAGCTTGCTGCAATCACTTCAACAATATGGGACATTCGTGAGGCTATAGAAGAAGGCATGCAGCATGATCCAGCAGCCAAACAACTTATCAAGTTAGTCAACCAAGGCAATACGAGGCATTTTTGGGTCGAAGACGACCTACTGCTTACCACTGGTTGGCGGGTCTATGTACCTAAGTTTGGAGACATTAGACGGCAGATCATAAGGGAGAGTCATGACACAATGTGGGCTGGTCATCCAGGCCAACGTCGCAATAGTGCCTTAGTTGAGTCAGTCTAGTATTGGCCATGCATGCGAGATGACATAGAATGTTATGTGCAGAGTTGTCTTGTTTGTTAGCAGGACAAGGTTGAGCAACAACAACCCGGAGGACTTTTGGAACCACTACCAGTCGCGGAGTGTTCATGGGAGAGTGTGACTATGGACTTTATCACTTGTCTACCGAAGTCTGATGGTTATGGTTCTATTATGGTGGCCGTGGATAGATTTTCTAAATATGCCACCTTCATGCATGCTTCACCGGCCAGGTTGCACTGCCAAGGAAGCCGCCAAACTATTCTTTAAGAACGTGGTGAAGTATTGGGGCTTACCAAGGCATAGTGATCGAGACCCCCGTTTTACTGGAAATATTTGGAGAGAGTTATTCGACATACTTGGCACAGAACTGTACTTTTCCACTAGTTTCCACCCACACATGGATGGGCAAACGGAACGGGCCAATGCCTTACTAGAATACTACTTGAGGCATTATGTAAGCGCGCATCAAAATGATTGGGCAAGACTCCTAGACAACATTCAATTTTACTTTAATCGGTCTTTTCTATAATGGCTTTGTCATTTCAGGATAATTTGAAATATGGAGTGATTCCTTTTTTAGTGTATCTTTCTTAGTTAATGGTCTGAGTTCTTGGAGAATTAAGCTCAGTCGTTACTGCTGATGAAGTGGGAATCTGAGGCTGCAAATTCTGAATATGACATTTTGCATACTGAGCACCAGCCTCTTATAGTAGCTTGATTGTTGATTATAATTGAGGACAAACTATCTCTTCTTTTCCTTCAAATAATAGCTGAGAGTCTTGACACTAACATTAAACTGAAGCTGCTATTTTTTAAAGATGATTGTAAGACAAAGACTATCAAATGTGATTCTTATCTTTGCAATTTTTTGTAACATGCCTTATTAGTTCCTTCATGCAAAAATATTTTAAACCAAGGGACTCTTATTTTTAAGTTGGACGCCTTGGCTACATACATTTATATCTTTGGTTAATTCTACTACTATTTGATAAAGTTGATGATATGACATGAAAGAATCTTTGTTGTGGCTGTCAACTAAGTCAAAAGAAGTAACGATGCTTGGCAAATGACATTGCAGAAATAGATACATAAAGTCCCAAGGATCGGAAAGGGCCTCAATCCACAAAAACTGAGGCATGCTTCCCCACGGTTTAAATAAAAAACCCAGGTATTAAAAGAGGCCATTATCAGTTTTGTTCCCTCGCTTGGTGTTGATTCCTGCTATCTGCCAATTGCTCCATAAACTTTTTCTCTTATAGTCATATCAGGAAAAGGTAAAAGGATTGGCCAACTTTGCCTTGGCCTACTGTGAGGAATTCTTTGGTTTATATAATATGAAAAACAACGACCAGTATAATTTGCTTGTCAATCTTGGCCAGTGAACTGCATGAAATTAGTTGTTCTCCGTCAAGAAATAAGATTAATATATCTGGAATAATCACTGAAGGATGTTTTGTTGCTTTAATGATAAACGTTGGAATTACAAGAATTTCTCCATTACGTATTGCTTGGCATTTATGACCAGTGGAAAAAGTGCTGCCTTTCAGCAAATGGCAGAGCAGAAATAGGTACCTAAAGTGACATGATCAAGTGGGACCTCAAACTTGAAAGGCTTAGCCATGCTCTGGTGACTTCTGCGGAATGTACCAGGTCCACAACTTCAATGTTCTTGCTGAGATAGAATCTCTACTCTTTTCACTTTTTTCTTGGGACCCTTCATCCACAAAAGTTAAAAAGCGCTGTGTTGTGTTTTAAACCATATGCTTCAAAATATTGGTTTGGATTAGCCTTAGGGTGCAAACTTTGGCAGTTAACTAATACAATCTAAATGAGTGTTTTTTGTTGAAAACTTGCCTACACCTAAGTGTGTGCTTCTTTGGTTCCCATATTATGAGAAACAACAACCAGAAAAATTATCTTTAGTCAATATGGTTTGCTTGTACGCCCTAGCGGTTAAGTAGTTGGAGTAACAGCCTTGGGTACTAAGGTTTAAAATCCCAATGGAGGTGACTCTATGAGAATTTCGCATTTGCCTAAATCTCGGTGGACGGAATTATTCGATAGGTTTGAGGCAGCAAGTATCTGGTACTTAATCAAGTCGCGTAGTCTGGACATGGCCGTGTGTGTGTGAGACACAATCTCGACTAGCGAACTTGCACGAAATTAGTTGTTCACAAACAAGAATAAGATTGTTGTATCTGGACTTTGTTGCGTAATCAATCAGCAGTGAAGTTTGATATTTTCACATTGAAATGGAAAATCTCTGAAAATTGTTTGTTTTTTTAAATAATTTTATAAGCTAGGAATCACAAGAGTTGCTCCATGGTGGATTGCTTGACATTTATGAGATGTGAAAAAAGTGCTGAGACTCAGCAAATGGCAGAGCAGGAATAGATAGCTAAAGTACCCATGGAATAGGAGGGACCTCAAACTTGAAAGGCTTAGCCATGCTCTGGTTACTTTCGTGGAACATACCAGGTCCATGACAACTTAAATGTTCTTGCTGACATAGAATCTACTCTTTTCACTTTTTCTTAGGACTCTTCGTCAACAAAAGTAAAAAGTGCTACATTGTCTTTTAAACCATATGCTTTAAAATGTTGGTTAGGATTATCCTCCGGGTGCAAAACTTTGTCCGTCAACTGATACAATTCAAATTGAGACGTCTGATTTAAGTCTTGCCTAAGCCTAATGTATGGGTTTCTTTGTTTCACATATATTTAAAACAACAACCTACAAACTTTAGTTAATATGATTTTCTTCTGCCCCAGCGGTCTAGGAGTTAGGGTTACAACCTTACTAAGGTTCAAACTCCAGCAGAGATGACATTACATGAATTCTTCACACTTGCCTTAATCTTGATGGGCAGAATTATTTGATACATGTGCTGGTGGGAGGAGAAGGTGGAGTTGAGCAGTCTGGACACCATCTTTTGTGTGTGTGTGTGTGTGTGTGTGTAAGATACAATCTCGTCCACTGAACTTGCACAAATTTAGTTGTCACAAACAACAAATACGGTTGCTATTTGCTGTGGAATAAACCAGCAAAGCAGTTTGATATTTTCACATTGAATTAGGAAATCACTAAAGGTTTTCTTTGTTGCTTTATTAAATTTTAAAGCGTTGGAATCAATAGAATTTCTCCATGGTGGATTGCTTGGCATTTATGAGGCGTGTAAAAGTGCTGAGGTTCAGCAAATGGCATAGCAGAAACAGATACCTGAAGTACCCATTGAGTCAAAGGGACCTCAAACTTGAATGGTTTAGCTGTGCTCTGGTGACTTTTGTGGAACATACCAGGTATCACGTTTTGGAGCCTCAAAATTTTCAACTTCACGACAACAGTTATTTTCTTCGCTGAGATTGAACCTACTCTTTCACTTTTTCGCTGGAGTCGATCTACCCCCACAAAAGTAAAACTTGCTCCATTATTTTATTAACTATATGTTTTGAAATACCTAAAAAAAAAATGTATGCTTTGGAATACTGGTTTGGATTAGCCTTCCTTTGACGGTCAACTGATACTTTAAAAGGAGACATCTTTGTTTAAGTCCTGAAAAAGTAATTGCACATGATTTAGAAGGAAGTATAAGATAGTAGAACAGCTTGAATATCCTGTTGTTAATCATGTAAAACTTTATAATTCCTACCCCTTTCAACTAGCATCAACCATATCTGGATAAGGAATATCTCAAACAATCTGAAATTTTTGTCTTTTATTCTGGATGCGAATAATATTAGTCATGACACATTCATGAGTATTCCTTTTCTTTGCTAGTGAGTTTTGAGATGGATAAAAGTTCTTGTGTTCAACGAATAGCAGAGCAGAATCAGATACTAAAAGTACCCAATGATCGGAAAAGGCCTAAAAGTGGACATCCAAGTCATTCTTGGATGAAATTTCTTAGCCACAAAGCTCTTACCTTCATGACATTTTCATTTTATTCCTCGATAACCTGTAATTGCCTTGTTACTTTTTCTATGACTACTTCACATCAGAAAAAGTAAAAGTGCATTGTGCTATCCTTCTTTGTCCTGTTCAATCAGTTGCATATGTTGAGTGCCCGGTATCAGCTCAACACTGATAAAAGACATTGTGTTTTGATTACTGATACTGTTGAGCCCATGGAATACTCTTCGTTTTACGCTACACGGTTTACTCTGATCTGAAATATAATTAACTGGATCGCATACGATTGCTTTGCTAAAGATAGATAAGCAATTTATTAGCCTGCAAATAAGTATGAAGACATCAGCAAGTATTTTTTTTATATTTGTGGTTTAACTGTTTTGGTAGTAAATAGAGTATGCAGGCATAAGTGAGCCAAATTCAATAGAAGGAGAGAATTCTATTCTAAGCTACATCTTTTTAGGTCTTGTTTGTAATGCAGTAGTATAAAATTCATATTTTGATTTCTGTTAAACAAAAGTATTCTGCAATTGAACATGCAATATCACTTGTTAATACCGGGTTGATGTTGGATTATGAAGCAATGTTGTTAAAAGCGCGCATCGCAGGCTGGGTGCTTTCCATTGACACAGCCAACTAATTGCTTTTTAAAAGTTTTAAGTAATTTATAAGACCTGTAAGTTTTGTTTTGAAGAGGGCGATACTAAGCAATAATTTTAACGCAAAGTGATATAGTTCTACTTGTTAAGAAAACAGTATGGAACGCATGCTTTTAATCGTACTTTGTGCTTTAAACCCGAGCATACCTTGCTACAGTTCTTCCCTTTTGCTTTTGACCAAACCATCCTATAAAACATTTTACTACACATGGCATTGAAGTAACTAGAGCCCAGTGGAATCCAGTAGTGTCAATACTGCCAAGTGTTTTTAGTTGATTATATATAAACAATTAATCAAATGGATGATATGGAGAACACTTTAGATCCCAAGATAGAAGGATCACTTCAGTAGTTGATTGACTTGATGCACTTTCCACTTTTAAGTTTTAGTTAAGGTGAAGAGAAAATACAGATGATTGGTCTTAGAGATTTTCATTAGCATAATTCATAGTTTTATCCATCTATCCACGTCCTTCCCCTTACTTCGCCTTTAATTTTCCTTTCACAACTGACTAAAGTGTTTCTTCTAATTCTTGAGGAAATTACCCATTTCCTTGCTGATTACAGATTATAAGCTGCTTTTTAGCTGTTTTAGGGATATCATGTGTCTTGATTCTTTCATTATAACTAAAATTTTGAAGATTGTCGTAGTATTTTGCTTACAAGGTGCTTATAGAGTACCATTTATCCTATTGATGCTTTCTTTCCTTGGAGAAGTGGACCTTTTATTCTTTATCTTCAGCGATGGAACATTCATTATACTGAAGGAGAATCTGGGACAAATACTAGGTGAGAGAGAGGCCCTGGACCAAAAGCAGATACTGATAAACATTATATGTCATTCAAAAAGAGTAAGTTCCAACGAAAAGATTACCCCAGTGGAAAGCAAAAAGCAGAAAGTAGAACTGAACTTCAATGATATTGCACCAGCTCACAATTTCACACACAGCCACTGAGCATCCAGAGGTTGTTGGCAATAGTGTTTTTCCCATTACTTGTGGGTCAATCCTTCTTTTCCTTTTTCTTTTTCCCTTTAGGCATCCGGTATCTGAAGTTGTGCAGGGTAGGTCCACTAAGGAGGTAAACATTTTGTACCAAAAGGTTTCTATTAACCCGAGTGTTTACCCGAAAAATGGATAGAGTTGAATTTATACGTAGTTCCGAGGATATGTGGCGTAACTTAACACAAAATGTAAGGATAAATAGAAATGTAAATATAGATTGAAGAGAATGCGAAATAGATAAGGTTGTCAGGAACAATGAATTTATTTCGACCGTATACACCGATGTAAATATCGATCGGACGTGTTAAGGCCGAAATCTATTTTGACCGTATACACCGAGATCTCTGGTTAAGGACGCGGATATCTCTCCATTCCCCCACCACGCTCCTTGGTGATACTGTAGTAAATTCTTTGTTTGTTGCAGAACTAGTACTTTTAGTCTTGTTGGGTCAATCCCTTTACACTGGACGGGTTTTTTCTTTACTTTCTACTCAGAAAATTGTACGTATTGACTGCAACACGGTCTACAAGGAAGATCTCTCTTTACATATACAACAATGCAGAGAATTTAACAAAATCCTCTGTGGAAAACTACTTTAGTACATTTCTCATTATTCAATAGCTAGTTAGATTGATAATGATGTAAGGTACAATATTAATATTAGGTTTAGGGACTTGTAGTTGATCTTCTCTTTGCTGCATTCAGAATGATGGCACGATTCCATAACTGCTATCTGCAATTAACTGTGTGGAGAACATCTGGTCTACTTCAGCCTCTACATCTGTTCTTTTCGCGAATCGACCTTTGATTCTTGGCCGTGTTTCTGCATACGCTTTTCTTGAAGCATACCTTATGGTTTTCTCAAATTTACGGTTTCTTTTCTTCTCTCTGTACCTAAGGACTCTGGCTTCCCTGTCCATTGGAGTAAGCTGGGTAGGCATTTGAATCGGAGGGCCTGAGAAGAGGTCAATGGTCCCTTTTGGAAGTCGCGGGTGGGAGTTTGAAGTTTCACTAAGTGCAGATTCTGGAACAACACTAACATCAATGGACGAAATCGAAACCTGATAAATACATACCGACAAGAGTGTTAGTTTTATACAGTAGCAATGTAAAGAATTTTTACAATATCAGCACAATGTAACTGATTATAGAAAGAGCAGCGAATCTTTGTTAAAGGTTTATGGTACAAAAGTTACAAGGCCCTGTTTAAGATAAGAAAAGATAGTTATAATGGCAAAATATGCGCAGCTAAAATGAGAAATCCTCTATTGAAAAAGCATGAATAATTCAGAAGCACTAAACAATCTCTTAAAAAGTTGAATATGAAAATTTAGTAGTATATCCGTAAGACGACTCATGAATTTAATTAAAGTGCATCTAATTGCCTGAATTGAGATACATGGATATAGTGAAGAAAACTTACACTGTGACTCATAGAAGCAGGGTAACCATATCCTGTGTTAGAGTTGTCATACTCCATTCCTAGCTGAAAACTCAGGTGGTGATTGTGCTGCTGCTGTTGTTGTTGTTGTTGTTGGTAGAGAATCATAGATTTCCCCTGTCTGTCCTGAACTGGCACCACGCTATCTCCTCCGTAATTCTTCTGAGGAACAGAGTAATTTTGTTGCTGCTGATTAACACTGTACTGATCATTAAACTGACTATCCCCTCCATACTCCGCAAGATCCAAGTATTCATCCACTACTTCCCCACCAAACAACATCCCATAGTTATTTTGGTTGTTATTGTTGTTATTAATGTTCTTGTTGTTGTTCTTAACAGGAAGATTCAGCAATAACCATGAAGCTGCTTCATCTTTATCTTCTTCATCTATTGTCGTATCATCTGCATCCTGAGTCAAACTCAAGAACCCATCATCCTCCGTGGCATCCCCCTCGGGGCCACCAATCATCAAAGTACCACCGCTAAGGGTGTCAACAGCTGGAGGACCATATAGGGTACCTGCATGAAAATATTCAGAATTTAAATTTTATGGATTATAAGGTTTTTTGAAAATCTTTGTATCTGTGCTCGACTTCAATTAAAGGCATTACCTGGAATGGGCATAATTGGGACACGGTGGTGACGGCGTGCCAAGGGGTTAGCAGAATGGATATCAGCGTCGCAGGAGGCACAAAGCGAGGCAGCATCCGCCTTGCAAAGAAAGGCTGCAGGAGCGCGTTCACACGCCTCGCAAACCCAAACGCGCTCATGACGTGAAGCCACAAGGTTTGCTGCATGTATGCGGGCGTCACAGCCCGCACACAAATATGCAGAATCGGCCCTGCAGTAAACGGTGCATGCAGTAGACCGGCAAGTGTCGCACACCTTTGCCCAGTTGTTGCTGCTGTTTTCCTTTTTCAACATTGAACTAATTTTGGCTTCTTTTTTCTTCTTCTTGCTCTCTATTTTCTGTTGTATAACTTTGTACTTCTGAGTACTGAACTTGTAGCAGGTATGCTGTGGACTTAAGAGGCACTGTGAAATATGAAGGGGGGAAAGGGGAAAATACAGTAGGCAACTACCAAGTGGGAAGAGAATCCATAGGCGACACGTGGAATGAAGTTAATGGCTAGGAAAAGTTGTTTCATTATCTTGTGGTGGCTGGTGATTCTGGTGGGGCCGGATGGTGGGGACAGGCAACAAGGAGGTTGAAACAAGTGGGTCCACGGGGCTTTTGGCTTTTGGAATCAATTGAGCTGGGAGAGCTTTGTCCAAGAGATTGCCTTTTAAGGGGGAGTCTATAGTCTTACTTACTGACACACTTCCTATTATTTAATTATATCAGGTGTTACTGTAACTGTTATGTATGCATTGTAGCTGTGTACGCTACATTCGTACAGTCCACCTACATCAAGAGGAGTTGAGTTTAATTGAATTCTTTTAATATCATCATTCTAAAGAAACTTGTACTATCATGTAACTGTTCATATTAACTCTAATTTGAGAATTTAGAAAATAAAGCAAAATAGCAAATAACTTGCTATAATAATTCGTTAAAATACATTGCATGATGTAAAAGTTAAGTGTACTGCCGATTTATATAAGTTAAATACAGAAAAAATCAAATTTTTAAGTCAATAATGTAGAATCTTGCAACTACCTTCTTGCTTTTTGGGTTTTTTGTAACAATGAATACAAACTTAAGTAAGTTTATGTTGTATGAGATTAGAGAACAAATAAATGTAATATTACACTTCTCCTGGCATAAGTCGCCCTCCTTGCTAACAAGATGTTTTTGAGTTGCCAAAAGAAGGCATAGCACGAATAAAATATTTCCTCTTTGACACATTGTTCTATTCTTTCCTGTCCTTCCTGTAAGATTATATGTTAAAACAAAGAGTAATGCTCGACTGATGTAACAAGAAAATTGAAAGTCACTAGTTAAGGGAAGCAGTAATATTAGTCTCTTTGGTTTTGATTTTTACTTGAGCCTTTGCCAGATGGAGAGCGTTTTGTAGAGTCTGATAATTTCTAGCTACTTAAATGGAACCACTTTCTCCATTTAAATGACAATATTCAATTTGCAAGCCAAAATCTATTGGATTTCTATATTGAGAACCTTCAGATTGTAAATAAACGTCCAAGAACTAAAATTTAAATCGGTATATGTGTTTACCCTCAAAATCGGATAACAATTGAATTTGTTAGTGAGTATAAGGACATGTGGATTAACTTGATACAAAGCCATAAATTAGATTACAATTGAAATAAATAACGATAGATTAACTGTAAACCGCGTGAGTTGGATGATTTCGGCTTAGGAAAGCAGGCCACCCTTGAATTGAATGCACTTTATTTGACATCAAAATATCAAAGAGTAAGAACTTAGAGAATGTATTGCTTATCAGTATATGTTACAACGTCTTTTATCAGTATATATTGTTCCATAAAAGGCAAAAGTCCTTGATTTTGGTGACCGTTGGTTCCTTTTATGATTTGTTCCGTGATTTCTGCCATAATGAGAGGTTAATGGCGAGAATTAAGGATCTCTGTCGGATGAGTTGGCAAAACTTTCTTCGAGACCGTTAAAAATAGGACTAGTTATGCCTTCGATAAACTCGAGGGCCAATCTGATGGTTTCGATGGCTAGTTTTGACAATGCTTTGGGTCTGATCTTAAATATCATAATCCTATCTTGGCTGACCGTGTGGAACGTCAGATCGAGCTTCGAACATCGATTTTTACCTAATTATAGATTTATCGACCCTGCTTACCGTATCGGAAGCTAGATCGAACATCGAGCTCAGCTTTACCCATATACAGATAGTCCTGTCATTTTTCGATGACTCGGTGACGAGAAATGATATGAGCTCTCGATTCTTACTTCGATCAATCATGACGTAAGCGACGAAACGTACGCGACAAAAGGTAATTGAATGTCCCGTCGGTCCAGTCTTCAAGGCATTAAATGTGTGTCAGTTAACGGTCGGACATCTTGGGATGTAAACCTACGTGATGTGAAACGCCGTTTGGGAAAATTATAAATACCCTTCAATCCATTCATTAGAACCTTTTGCATTCCAACTCTTGCTCTTGCGTTTCAAGAAAACTCCATCATCCTCATCTTCTGGTTTTCTGGCTTTAAGCTTAAGAACTTCCTTCCTTGTTAGTTCTTTGAAATTTTTTCATAAGTTACCTGCTAGTTACAACTCCTCATTAACCAACATCTTCTTCTCTCCTCTATTTAGCAAAGACTTCAAAATCTGTTCCTAAAAAAGAAACCTTTTCTTCCTCAAAACCATCTGAAAATATTTCACCTGCTGCTACTGAGGAACCAACACCGGAACCCCCTCTAAAGTCGTATGTCCCTTAGGGGTGCCCAACCGGGGCCCACTTCAAGAACAAAAAAACCCCCTTGGTACCGGGTCTGTGCGAGCCGGTCTCGAGGTACATATGTACTATTTCTACCAGTATCCTCGATAAGGTCAAAGAGGATTGCAACTGGAAAGATAAACTCGTAGTGGTCCCTACCCCCGAGGAATCGATCACCACCTACGTGGAGGATTTTTTAAGTGTTTACACTTACCCTTTCATGCTGGGTCCTTTAGACCCAGTTATCATAACCTTTTGCAAAGGTATAAAGTGACGCTCGGGTAGATCCATCTTTCATTTTGGAGGATTGTTATTCTGCTTCGTTTCTTTGTGAGCAAGCTCGAGGGGTGTCTATTTACTATCGACCACGTCATGCGCTTGTATATCCCTCGACTTTACCGAGGGGGATTAATCAAGCTAGCGCATCGAGCCACTAAGGCCTTATTCTCGAGCATCGATGAGGATCGGGACCGGGGCTAAAATGGAAACGAAATGACTTACTAGCCACAGTATATCCCCGACACAACCTACATTCACAAACGATAGTTGTTTAGAAATTGAAAAAAAAAATTGAGACGAGAATGTAATGGGCAGATTTTTTCGAGTGAGGACCTCGGACTTAATCCCAGCTGCGGATATGCCATTTCCTGAGAAATGAAACATGAAACGTAAGTATAACTTTGCCTTCAATATTTATTTTATTGCTTTTCTTTTCCCTCTCTTCTCATCGATGTTATGTGATGATGCAGTTATTTCCCAGATACCGGATATCGTTTCTCGACTCAAGGAGTCGATCGAGGGCATTACGACACAGAGACCCTATTCCGAGCGCTTATGGCGTGAGCTCTCGAAGGGCCGATGGGAGGCCCGTAACCATGGTGAGAATTTTTTTCTCTAGGTTATATTTGATCTTACTTTCACATCTTCGATCTCTGAATCGTTTTACTTTCATTTTGCAGGATTACCAAAAGATGTCAAAATGAGGCCTCCATCAGCCGATGACAACATATACGTCGACCCCCCTTCTCCGAAGCAGGATAAAGAGAAGAAAAGAAGAAAAGCTCCGAGTTCCTCGAGCCCTGAAAAGAAGAGATCGAGGAAGCGGTTGGCGCGCAAACCTAAGAATGCCAGCGCCCTAGAACTTTCATCGGACTCACTTCATCGGTTGAGATATGAGTCCAAAGAAGAAGAGGATTCTGATTTGGTGGCCCGCGTGAGAAGCGGTTTCAAACTGCCTCAAGCCATGGAGACCATAGAAGAAGCAGCGGCTGAAGTCTCCGAACCAAGGAGGGTCGAGACTCTTTTTCCCCAAGCTAAGGAGGTCGAAAAAGAGGTTGTGATCGGTACTTCTCGGTTAGAAGATAATGTGCCTAAGGAGGCGCTTGGGGTGATCGATCTCTCTAAGTCGCCTTCATTTACCGATTCTATGATAAATGAGGCTCAAACGTTGAAAGGTAATCTCGGCGAAGGGGCCCAAGGAGCAGCCGATTCTTTCCACAATTTCATCGATGGCCTAGATTCTACTGCTTTGGAGGATGTCACCGTGTTGGGCGACTTACCAGTACCAAAGAAGATACCGTCCCCGGGAGCTGGCGGGACTTCTTCAAGCCCAAAATTAGTGAATCAGTTCCCAGCTCCGAGTGTTGATCCTACTCGGAGACAAGCAATTTTTATGCCCATTCCGAAGGACGCCCGGGTTCTCTCTGCCCCGGTGGAGATTACCAGTTACCTTCGGTGCTTGGTGACCGAAGAGGATCAAGCTAGAATGAACGAGGTGGAAGCGCCCTGCCTGTTTAACGAAGCTCAACGTGAATCGGGTAATTTCCAATGTCCCTTCATTATATACTTAAATTTAATCATGAATAATCGTAACATTTTCCTTTGTGCTTGTAGGTATCGGTGCTTCATCACGAGGCCTTTCTCCGATATCGGGAGGAGTTCAAGCATCACGAGGCCGAGATTCGGGAGCTTGCTGAGAAGAAGGATGTTTACAAGCTTCTTAGTGAGAAGCTCCAAGCCGAGTTAGAAGCGGCTCGGAATGATGATTCAAACATATTGGCTAACGATCCGAACCCACAGGTTCAAAAGAGACTTAACCAAATCGAGCAGCTCCAGGTGGAGGTGGACACGATGAAGGTCGAGGTCGAAGAATAGAAGAAAAATATAGACCGCCTGACCTCGAAAAAAGAGACAGCCCGAGCACAGTTGGCTTCAGCTGAGGTTCAGCTTCGGGCTATAAAGGAGAAATACTCGGTGCAGGTCAATACGATCGAGGGACTCCAATCTCAGTTGAACTCGGCTTTTTTTGGTCAAGAGAACCTGGCCAAGGAGCTTGAGGCAGCCAAGTTAGAGGTCATCATGGCCAAGACCGAGGCCAATGATAAAGTGGCCCAGTTCAAGGCCGATGTCGAGGCCATTCAGAAACAAGCAAGAAACATGGTGAAGCATGCGAGGTGGAAATCCCAAAGGGAGGCCCTCGAGGGAGTTCATGCTCAGAATTTTGACATATTGGCAGAAATTGAGAATGCCAAGTTATGCGAAGCCAAGGCCTAGAAGCTAGCTTATCCCGAGGAGGATTCCGAAGGGTCTGAAGAGTCCGGTGGGTCTGATGGTGGCGAAGACCCCGTAGGCGATGATGTAGCCCCCGATGAAGATTAGGCCATTTAGGGTCTTTTTTCTTTTTGTACTATGTTTTTGTTGAGGCTGTTCGGCCTTTGTGAAAAATACGTATCGGGGCTATTCAGCTCTTGTAAAGAAATTTTGATATATATATATATATAAGGCTTTTCCCTTTCATCACTTTTGAATTTTTCCTTTTCTTTTTTATTTGTCTTCGCAAAGGTCGGAATGCCTTAGCATGAAATAATTAGGTTATGTTCGAAGGTTCGAACAAACCTTGCTTTTAACGTTACTTTATGTCAAGGCATTGTTGGGATTCGGTATTACCGAAAACTTTTTCCCAAAATAATTTAGGTTTATAGCTTGCCGAGGGTAGCCTTTAGAGCCAGTTATAAGAATTTTTTGAAGGCCTTATTTTTGTTACGAGTCTCGAACGTATCCGAGCTGTGTTAATATGGCCGTAGCCTTTTTCGTTCGTGCAATGCCAAATAATTTTCATGCCCTCGAGTGTTATTAACTTGGAACAGCCTTAACTTTTTAATTCAGGCAATGCCAAATAAGTTTCATGCCCTCGAGTGTTTTTAACTCGGAACGGCATTAGCCTTTTAATTTGGGCAATGCCAAATAAGCTTCATACCCTCGAGTGTTATTAACTCGGAACAGACTTAGCCTTTTAATTCGGGCAATGCCAAATAAGCTTCATGCCCTCGAGTGTTATTAACTCGTAACGGCCTTAGCCTTTTAATTCGGGCAATGCCGAATAAGCTTCAGGCCCTCGAGTGTTATTAACTCAGAACGGCCTTAGCCTTTTAATTCAGACAATGCCAAATAAGCTTCATGCCCTCGGGTTTTATTAACTTAGATAAAGGTGGCCCTTGGGCTCGATAGCTTTAGCTTCTTGAAAGATGTAAGAAATATTTCAAAGGACAAGATGTTTATGTGCAAGGAAGAATTTTCTTTTATATTCTTGTGCACAATAGTTGTACATGTATACATGTTTTGTGCCAGGGATCGAGCGGTCTATGTGGGCACGGTTCATTTGACCGTTTGGCCCTTACAATAAATCCTATTGATCGAGGCCTTTCAATCACGAAGTTTCTTTCCTTGTTAGAGTCAATAACAGAGGGTATTGCCCCCTAGTGTTTGGGGCTTACTGAAGAGTGGCCTCGAATATTATTGTGATTATTGTCACCGGTTTGTAGCCGGCCTTCTATTCTACGTTAGTACGATTTACTTGTTGCCTCGTTAAAAACCTTGCCGGAAAACCCATTTGGGACAAAGCTGGTTTAAGGGAAAAGAGTGCAATGCGTGCTTTCAGACCTAGGATCTCATATCATCCCTTGTTGGTCACCTGCAAGTGTTAGTTTGAGATGTAAAATAAAAGAAAGAACGGTGTTGTACCTTAGCAGTAATATCTCTTTAAGTGAGTTATATTCTAGTTGCTCGGCAATTGTTCGTCGTTCATTGTTTCGAGCTTGTAGGATCCTTTTCCGGTGATCTCGATAATTTGGTACGGTCCTTCCCAGTTTGGCCCCAATTTCCCTTCGTTCGGGTTTCGGATGTTCAGTGTAACTTTTCTTAGTACTAAGTCCCCGATAGTAAAATATCGAAGGTTGGCCCTTCGATTATAATATCTCTCGATCCTCTATTTTTGGGCGGCCAACCAGACGAGGGCGGCTTCGCGCCTTTCATCTAATAGTTATACGCTTGTACTCATAGCCTCGTCGTTCGATTCTTTTGTTACATGTCAGAATCTGATGCTCGATTCTTCGACCTCGATCGGTATTAAAGTTTCGGTGCCATAAACCAAAGAAAACGGTGTGGACTTGGTACTGGACTTCGAGGTTGTACAGTACGCCCATAGGACCTCATGTAGCATTTCCTTCCATTTTCCTTTAGCGCCGATCAACCTTTTTCTGAGGTTTTGGATTATGGTTTTATTGGTGGATTCTGCTTGTCCGTTCCCACTAGGGTGGTAAGTAGTGGATAAGATCCTTTTGATCTTATGGTCTTCGAGAAACTTGCTTACTTTGCTGCCAATAAACTATTTTTCGTTGTCGCACATAATCTCGATCGAAATTCCGAATCGACATATAATGTGGTCCCAGATAAAATCGATGACTTTTTTTAATCTAACCTTTTCATATGCCTGCGCTTCCACCCATTTAGAAAAGTAGTCAGTCATAAATAAAATAAATTGAGCCTTACTGAGTGCCCGTGGAAGGGGGCCAACAATGTCCATCCCCCATTTTATGAACGGCCATGGTGACAAGACCGAATGTAGCGGCTCTCATGCTCGATGAGTCGTCGGAGCATGCCTTTGGCATCCATCGCATTTTTGAACGAACTCCTTTATGTCTTTTTCCATATCGATCCAGTAGTAACCGGCTCCGATTATTTTTTGAACTAGTGATTCGGCGCCCGAATGATTTCCACAGGTACCTTCGTGGATTTCCCTCAAAACGTATTCGGTGTCTCCCGGTCCCAAACATATCGCGATCGGGCCACCGAATGTTCTTCTGACTAGGGTTCCATCCTCGGACAAACTAAACTAGGCTGCCTTCGTTCGTAGGGCCCTTGATTCTTTAGGGTTCGAGGGAAGTTTTTCGGTCTTGAGATATTCCATGTACTTATTCCTCCAGTCCCAAGTTAGGCTCGTTGATTTGATCTCGGTGTGGCCTTGTTCCACCACCGATCTTATAAGCTGTACAATTTCTCCCGAGTTGATCTCGTTGTCTTCGACCAACGATCCCAAGTTAGCGAGGGCATCAGCTTCGCTGTTTTGATCCCGAGGTACATGTTACAAAGTTCATTCTTTGAACCGATGTAATGTCACCTATAACTTGTCCAAGTATCTCTGCATTCATTCTTCCCTAACCTCGAATGTCCTATTAACTTGGTTTATCACAAGGCGTGAGTCGCACTTGGCTTCAATCATCTCTGCCCCCAAGCTTTTGGCTAATTCAAGGCCTATAATCATGGCCTCATATTTGGCCTCGTTGTTAGTCAATTTCACAGTCTTAATAGATTGCTTAATTATTTTACCTGTTGGTGGCTTTAGTACGATGCCAAGACCGGACCCTTTTGCATTTGAACCTCCGTCCGTAAAGAGGGTCCAGATTCCCGAGGAAGTCCCCGAGTTAATCAATAACTCTTTTCAACCTCGGGTATTAAGGTCATCGTAAAGTCGTGTTGGCCTAAGTGAAGGTTAGTTTTGAAGATTGACAAAGGAAGCTCGGGCATGAACCAGGTCCATCCCTTGTGTGCATAGACACGGGCAGATTCGAGTATGTGGAATGCACGTGAAGGAGATAAGCTTAACTTGGTCTAATTAATATCTCCTGATCGAAAAGGGTTGCATAATTGATAAGGAGAAGGACTCCTTAATCAAAGAGAATACTATCTAAGATAAGGGAGTAGTTAGAGGTTGAGATCAACTAGAACTCTTCCACCAAGGAAGAGTAGCATTATAACTCTAGTTATTTTCTACTCTACTAATTCTATAAATCGCAGAATGTTCTCATTCTATAGGGGATGCACAAAAGCAGAAGTTAAACATGAATTGAGAGCAAAATAGCAAGGTATTTTGCAAGCAGTTCGTGTGTGATTCAAGTGTGCGAACCTGAAGCTACATGAACCAGATAGAAGAACCAGTTCCAAGTGTCTGTCTTTTATTCTAGTTCAATTGTAGTAGGTATTTACATATTGTACCTTTCAGCTTTATCTAGAGGCAATTGTAATAGGTACTCAGAGTATTCAAGTTAGAGTTAACTTGAAGTTGTCGCATCTTGATTCCTCGGTTGGATACCATGAACGCGAGAAATTTTCTTGAACCAGCTTCGAACGCGCACTTTTCTGGGTTCAGCTTCATATTGTACTTCTTCAATATGCTGAAGTTTTCCTGCAAATGTTTTAAATGGTCCTCTGCTCGCAGGGACTTAACCAACATATCGTCAATGTAAACCTCCATCGATTTTCCTATTTTTTCCTCAAACATCCGGTTTACTAGTCGTTGATAGGTTGCACCGGCATTTTTTAATCCGAATGGCATCACGTTATAACAGTATGTGCCATATTTAGTGATGAAGGAGGTTTTTTCCTAATCACTCGAGTCCATCCATATTTGGTTGTACCCAGAATAGGCATCGAGAAAACTGAGGGTCTCGTGGTCGGCCGTGGCATCGATCATACGGTCGATGTTGGGCAAAGAAAAAGAGTTTTTGGGAATGCCTTATTCAAATCTTTGTAATCTACACATATTCTTAGTTTATTCCCTTTTTTAGGGACTACCACTACGTTTGCTAACCAATTCGGGTATTTAAACTCCCAAATGGATCCTATTTTAAGGAGTTTAGATACCTCGTCCTTGATGAAAGCATGTTTGACCTCGAACTGGGGCCTCTTCTTCTGCTTGATCGGATTGATTTTCGGGTCCAGGCTTAGCTTGTGATGGGTTATCCCCGGTGGGATTCCTGTCATATCGAGATAGGACCAAGCGAAATAATCTATGTTAGCTACAAAAAATTGAATAAGTTTTTTCCTGGGCTCGGGAGTTAACCCCGTGCCCAGGTATACCTTCTGATCGGGTAGATGCTCGACCAATATAACTTTTTCCAGCTCTTCGACCGTTGATTTGGTTGCGTCGGAGTCATCGAGGATTATAAAAGATCGGGGAACCCCATAATCATCGTCTTCATAAGTCCCTTGCTTATCCGATTGGGTCGTGGCCGGTGTCGATGACTGCTATTTGGCCTCTTGATTTGTGTCCGAATTCGGTTCCTTCGATGTTGCGAGTATTGATATTGGAATCACTTCTTCGACTGCAAACATCTCTTTTGAGGTGCGAATTATGATATTAATACGCATGCGGTGGCATAAGGTCTGGGTGTTGAAACGCATGAGGTGAGATAAGGGGGGCTTGATACGCGTGGCTA